TTCTAAAAATTCTTTTACGGCAGGCCCTGATGGTATTGCTAGTTTTTTACTTTTGGATTGTGCAAATATTTTAGTGACCTCACTTTCAAAAATATTCAACTGCATTTTAAAACAGTGTTCAATACCTCATATTTGGAAAACATCTAACATCTGTCCGGTATTTAAATCAGGAGATGTGACCTATGTTGAGAATTAGAGACCTATTAGTCTGTTGTGCAACTTTGCTAAAATATTTGAATCGTTATTGTATAAAGGAGTTTATTCTACTGTTAAACCATTTATTACTCCTTATCAATATGGATTTGTTGAAAAAGATCTACTGTACCTAATCTTCCATATTTTTCACAATTCGTTTCTGAATCCATTGATAATCGTGGTTAAGTGGATACAATTTATACGGATTTTTGTAAAGCATTTGATAAAATTGGCCATTACATATTACTAGATAATCATATCTAATGAACAGGCAGCAAGTTGTTATATATCGTAATTTTCGCTCTAAATCCATCTCTCCGACTTCTGGTATCCCACAGGGGTCCAATTTAAGACCCTTATTATTCATAATATTTATTAATGACATTGTTAATGAAATTACCTGTGAAAAATTGATTTTTTCTGACGATCTTAAACTGTTTATTGAAGTTCATAGTGAAACAGACTGTGATATTCTTCAATACAATCTTAATCGTTTACTTGATTGGTGTAAACTGAATAATCTAACACTTAACAAGGATAAATGCTTCGTTATGTCTTTTACAAGAAAGAATACCCCTATTACTTTTTCTTACAACATCGAAGGATTCATTTTACAACGGAAAAATAAGACCAGAGATTTAGGAATCCATTTTGTTTCAAAATTTACCTTTGTGGATCACATTAATGATATTTTTGCTAAAGCATATAAAGTGTATGGATTTGTGTACAGAAATTGTAAGGATTTTTATAATATTAAAACTCTCTATGCACTTATTAGAAGTTAGAATATGGTTCAATTATTTGGTATCCAATATATCAAGTGCATATTAACAACTTCGAAGCTGTCCGACGAAAATTTTTGAAGTTTCTATGGTTCACTGTCGATGGTATATACCCTGAGAGGGGTTATGATCATGCAGCACTGTTACAACGATTTGAGTTTATGCTTCTTCAACTGCGGCGAATAATTGCGATGAAATTTTTAACTTATTCAGTAAACAATAGGATTGATTGTGAAATGTTGCTAAACAAAGTCAACTATTTAGTTCCCCGCATCCATTCTCGTCAAGACCAATCGTATTATGTAATTCGCCTATAGTCATGATATGTAATGAATTTAATAACATACCTAAATTTTGCGATATATATTTCGATTCTTTGAACTCTATTGTTAACATCATCGCACAAATATGGACAATATGAAATATCCTTAAACCAGATAACATAGAGGAAAAATATAGATATTCTCAATTAATTTATCAGTACATGTTTAACTTCGACTTAGATGTGTGTAATTCGAAAGAAAAAAATTGTAATATGGCGCCATCACTTTTTACGAGGGGAAGGAGGGGCATAAACGGACAAATTTGTATTGACGATTTACCATGTTTACAATATCATAAAAACATTTGCAAGATTTCACAACATTCGGTTTTGCAATTTCAAAGTTAAATTGTTAAATGTCGTATTACAATTTTCATTTTTTCCTCAAAAATTTTCATTGTCAAGGGTAAAAACCCAAAACGGATTCATAAATCACACATGCTATTTTATCAAATTTAAGGAACATTTATTCGGTAGAATTGTAAGACGACGATCTAATTTTTTCGAGAGGCCATAAACAAATACATTTTGATAAATAGTTTATCACGCTGCTTATAACCTTAAAAAATGTTATTATATAGTTTTGATTTTTTTTAATCTGGATATCATTATTTTTGTCTAATAAAAACTGACACTAACAGACGACAGACAGACCGAAACGCAACTTATTTTAGGAGTGATAAAACGTCGAGAAAACATGAAAGTAGCCATTGGTCGTGTAGACCCTATTACCTTGGCTTACGCTCGGGAAGTAAAAAGAAATTTAGTTGGACTCGTGACATTTTTTAAATTAAATTTTGGATCAATAATTCAGCGGAGAATGCATATTGTGGTGGTTATTAGAAAGGGACACGCTTTTAAGGCTGAATTACCACGTACATCCGTTTAACAAAGAAAGCAGATAACTGCTAATGTACAAACACACAAATTAAAACAGAATTTCGTATCAATGCGGTGTGTAATAAATATAATCAAACGGAAACCAGGTAAATTGATTACATTGTTTCAAGGGTTGTGGACTGTTGGTGAAACTTTGAACTAATAGTTAATTTCAGATCTCCAGTGGAAGTTATATTGTTGGAACAAAACCACCAAACATCGACTTTTCACTTGACAAATTTTATTGTTAACCATTTGTTGAGTTTGCACAATATGACACATAGCATTGTTAATAAAATTCAACTTCTGTACATCCCACTGCATCCTACAGAGACACACTAAAGTAATTACTCGTTCAGCTAAATAGATGACTACGAAAACCTCATGTTAAGTTCTGCATATTGCTAATACGAACACGAAGTGCGCGTTACGATTGAAATTTTCTCTGTGTCTTGTTCGCTTTAGTTCATTAACATGCAGTTTTGTGTATTCGCATTTAACTAGATTTCACCCTTGTCGGCTTGTCACAAAATCTAGCTTTAAAGCCGGATGAAGTTTTATTTGTACGATTTATTTAAACTATTACAGCGAATTAAGTGATTTGCATAAAATGTGAGCTTGCTTGAGAGTCGCTAATTTAATCATGACTCGACTAATGTAATGTGACTTGCCTAATATGAGCTGCCAAATGTACAGCTTCAGAAGGAATTTATGAAACGGTTTGACCAACTAAAATTATCGTAAACTAAATACATAACATTTAGTTTATTATATCATAAAAAATATTTGTAGATTAAATGAAACAAGTGCGGATTTGACTTTAGAATAATCCGAGTTAAAAATGTGTCGTAAACGGCCTTTAGAACGTTAACAATCGAAACAGTTTTTGTAATTTTGTCTGTATATGGTGCAATTGGTTTTCTACGCAGGACGTAACTTTTGAAAATACACGCCCATTACGTACAACAAATGCCAGATGCTGCAACGATATTAATGAAAAAAAAATTAATGACTAGTCTAACAAAGCCCTTTGTATTATTTTCCAATTCACGCTCGCGAGAAATCGATATCGCGGGATATTTTTGAAATTATACGCACAAAAGATAGTCAATATCATTGTTTCGAAGTAGTGGACGGAAAATACAGCCGGGGGATTATACGTCTGAATGCTTCTGCATCCATGTAATTTACTTTTGCGTCAAAAACCATGTGATATTGTGTAGAGATAATGCTTTTTACTCGAATTAAATATGTGCATCCACTAGAGAAATCCGTTTCTTGCGCATTATGCAGTCGGTCGATTTCAGCCATCCACAAATAAAACCTTTCCTTTTTGGAACTCCATGAATGCATATAACAACGTAAACGTTTCCTGAGTACTTGACTGTCTGTTCGAGCTATTTCAAGCCACACAAATCATTGCCAATAGATATTTTTTATAGGAAATATGAAAAGTTCCAAAGTTGGCCGCCTACTAAGTCATAAAACACACACCCCGCTTTTTCTCGGCTTTTGTTAGTTTTGAAACTGACCCTAACATTTATCCAAGTCCAAAACTTTCCCAGTTTGAACGTCAATTTGTAATATTATTTGGTATGAAGTTTACATAAGTTACGTGTTTTCTGGTAATACGTAAGAGATCGTTTCTCGGTCTTTTTGAGTCTTGTTTGCTGGTCAGATATTTCACGCTCGAGTTGGGTTTTTATTAAATATTTGCATTTGAAATTCAACAACTGAATCTCGAACTAATCCCGAATAATCCCTCTGCGCTGCCTAATTACAACGATTCGCTACATTTATTCGGCGTTTTACAATTTAATGAATAATCTACGAAAGCCAGACTTCAACAAGTTCAATTAAATATCTGTTAAAATGAGATTGCGCAACAAATAAACAGTGTAACAGTGATCCTGTCGGACTTGATATACTGTTATTAAACTTGCGTTTCGATAAAATTGATTTTAGTGGCGTTTCAATTAAATACAATCATTTCATATTCTAACATTTTAAAAATGACCGTGATGGAAAACGTTCATTACAGCGTGAAAATTAAACGTTTTCATGTAATCTGCTTGCAAAAATGCACCATTAATAAATTCATTAATAATTATGAGATTTACATATCTTTTAATCAAACTTACAATATTGGATACAGGATGTTACAACCGTGGAATACGATTATTCACCCAAGGCCATGAAAGACCAAATCTGGGGACTATTGGCTAACAAACAACCCCAAAAACGATATCATTTAGATTTACAACATCATGCGCGTTAGGTATTGAGGCTGCCACCTTACCACTGTCATTTCAATGCTATTGAAATGACATGGTTGGAAGTTGAAAGAAATCATGATAAGATCATTCCAAGAACCAGTGCAACTTGGCAAAATGTGTTTAATCAAGTTCCGGATGTACATTGGAACAACTATCTTAAACATACTGATAAAATAATAAGTTCAACTAATTAAGAAATTAAATGGTCCAGTTTATAAAAAACAAAAGTCAAAATTTACCATTCTTTTAGTTAATGTGCAGCGGAACATTTTAAATGTTGCTTCAGAAGCAAGGATCACCATTATGTTGATATCAAATCTTTGCACAGACAATTTTACGTTTTCGTGTATCCAGTGAGTGGTCAGCGGAATTCTAATTGACAATACAGGATGCTTTTGAAAGAAAGCGCGCCAAGTAGTCTTTCTATAAAGAAAGCACAGGACCTTATTTAGTCCCGTATTTTTGCTTTTTTTTCTGGTGTGTTAATTTTAGTCCACATTTTGTATAGATTGTGAACATTTTTCTTAATTAATTTTCTTGTTGCAGTCCGACCTCTGAGGGTGAAATTGCTTGGGGAAAATAAGCCATTATCCGCTGATAACACTTACGAACTTAGTTGTGAAGTTGTGGGCTCTCGTCCTCAGCCTACCATAACCTGGTGGAAAGGAAGTGTGCAAATGAAAAACACGAGAGAGACCGTAAGTTTACACATCTAAATACATACACAAGCCGTTCAAAGTCAAAGTGTAGCGAAGTATATTACAGCTGAATTTCAAGAACAGAAAGCAAAAGGCTTTAGTGAATATTTTATACAGTCGTTATAAATTTAATTTTCTAAACATTTGCTTGGGTTCATTTGCTTTTTATATAGATGTTACAGCAAACTTTACACTTAATGTTTCAGCCTATGTTCGTCTCTTTACAGGAATAACTGTACAAATTTCAGTTCTACTGCGTCCTGTGAAAAAAATCTATACTGTACATACACATGAATATGGTTTTAGTTCTGTAAATATTTAGTCCATCCATAATCTTTATCAAGGAGTGGTTTCAAACAATTTGAACAAGAGGTTGACTTAAACATTAACAAAAAATATAAATTTACAAATTGCTCATAAATATTGTATTAAGTACTTAATTTTTTTTGTAAATTTTTTTTTACAGAACATTCGCGATATTTCAGTTTCAATGTTCTTCTTTGTTCAACTCGGACTAATCAGTATTGCTTTCGCTGGAGTTGTCATATTCACCTACATTTAAAATAAACCCGTCAACGACAATGTCCATCATATCCACATCCACTTCATTAAAAAGCCATAATAATTCTGACATAAAGCGTCTTATGAGGGACATAAAACACTAGTGTTTTATAATGCATAAAACACTGATGTCTTACAAGTTATGAGATATGCAATAAAAAACAAAGTAATGTATTGACATAACATTAACGTTAATTAGTATTCAGAGTTACAACTTTATCCCCATCTTCCTCTGTGTTTGCAGTTCAAACAGGAATTTATAAAACGGGTCAACGATGGCCATATGTCTGACATTTGATTAGAACATTGTCACACTAACATTTGTTGGTCGCTTTGTTAAAAAAGGTAATAAAACAGAAAGCCGGATTTACGAGTTTAATAACTCAAATAACAAATAATTAAAATTGCTTAAAGATCAACGTAATAAGTACTGAAAATGTTGCTCATTTTTCGTTTCGCAACAAGCTATTCTATTCATAAAAGATCCCCGGACTCGTTCCAGAACTTCTGGTGTTAGCGATCGGCGGCCTGCCGTAATCTTTTCTTTTAGATCTTCCACGCTTAAAATAGGGTCTTCATACACTTTATCTTTTACTGTCCCTCATAAAAAAAATCCAGTGGTGTGAGGTCGGGTTTCCGGAAAGGCCAACAATTAACTGAGCCTCTGCCAATCCATCTCTTCTGTACCTTCTTTCCAAATCTTCTCTCACTATTCGTGGGTTATCGACAAAGACTCTGTTGTCACCACATAGCTTCTATAAAATATAAAGGGAGTAAATGATAAAAGTACAATCGCGACCATAGAAAACTGTACCACTTTGCCATACACAAAGTTTTATTTATGTATTTTTTTATAACATCAGAACAGCAATTTGAATGTACGCCTCTGATTTAAAAAAGATAAGTGACCTAGTCAAATAAAACATTAATTAAACCCACTAAATTTCAAAAAAATATTCATGAACTGAAAGAAATTTGAAGAGACACTAATACAAGAATATGTGTGGAGGTGTCAAGGGGCGATAAAGGAAAAGAAAAAGGGGAGAGCAAGCGGGGGAATAGTAATGGGAATTCGAAAAGATATGCAAGAATTGGAAAAGGTAGTAATAATAAAAACGGACTAATGAAGAAAGTAATACAGCTGGATAACAATCGGTGGGAAATCATAATCGTTTATAGTAAGAAAATGGAGGAAACCAAGATAAACATAGAAAAGGAAACAAAAGAAAAAGGAGATGAAAAAATACTTATAGGAGGGGATTTTAACGCAAAACTGGGCGATAAGGGGACAAGAATAATAGATAAAGAAAAGGGAAAGAAAAGAGGATCAAAAGACAAAGCAAATAACGAAGAAGGGAAAATATTGTGGAAGATAATAGAAGAAATAGGATGGGAAATTTTGAATGGAAACGAGGAAGGAGATGAAGAAGGAGAATGGACGTACGTAGGGGCTAGGGGAGAATCAATTATAGACTATAGGATTGTCAACGAAGAGGCGTGGGAAGAAATAGAGAGTTTCAAAGTGCGGGAAAGGGTAGAATCAGACCACATGCCATTAGAAATAAAAATCAAAGGAAAAGAGCAAGAGTACGAAAAACAAGAGAGAAGAAACGAAAGAAAAGAAATAGAAAAAAGAATATGGGATGACGACGGAATTCAAAGATACACAAGTAGACTAGAAAAAAAGAAATTATATAGGTATATAGTGAGAGAAGAAACAAAAGGGGAGAAAATGAGAACGGAAGCGAGTAAAAGGCCGGTTGGATTTGAAAAGAAGTATAGTGAGAGAGGTTATTGTAAAATATTGCAAGAATGTTGGAAAGAAATAAGGAAGAAAGAGGGAAAACATGTTTGGAACGAAAGAGACAAGTATTATGAAGGAAAGGGATATGCAAGTGAAGAAATAGAGAGAATGAGAGAAATGGGAGTGAATGACAGAAGACCTGAGTGTAAGAGATAAGGATATAAATAAGCAAGAACGCAGATCGAGAATATCGGACTCTAGATATAATGTAGAGTACCTATAGATAAATAGTAAAGGATGAAGTACCAAAGTACAGAGAGAGAGAAAGAGAGAGAGCGTATAAAGGAAAAAAGAATGATGGCGAGATTTAGGTGTGAAAATGAAGAGAAAGAGAATAATTTTTGGATGGATCAAACTGACAGAAGGTGTAGGATATGTTGGAGAGAGGAAGAAACAATAGAGCATATGCTGGAAGGATGTGAAGGATTGAAAGAATCGGAGGAAAGCAGGGAAGAAGTGCTAAACGAGGATGGAAGAGGAGTGGACTGGACGAAAGAAGTACGGAATATAAGGGAACTAAGACAAGCAGAAAGAATAGAACAATTATTATTATATAAACCTGGAATATTTATTTTATTTATTTTTATTGATTTATTTGTATTATGTAGATTAAGTTAATTTGTACCCCTACTGGGAATCTTATTAAGCCTGTAAGGCAAATAATAAATTAATGCTACTACCTACCGAACCACGTCAATACCAGATTTGGGCAGATAACAAATTTTCACGAGGGAAACGAGGAAAAGGCGTAGTAGGAATTGATAACATCATAAAAGACTTAGAACTTGGCAGAATGTACAGTATTCATCAAAGTGAATATTTCCGTCTAAGTATACTGTTGAATAGTACCGCTTGAGGAAAAGACGTATAAATCTACAGTCACAGTATTAGATGAAGAAGACACAATTCACTACCCAACAAGAACTTCCTAATTCTCCCAATCCGTCACGTCTTCCCTCTCATTGCCGAAAAATGAAATTTGTTACACAAAAACATATTTTCATTTTTTTGGAATATAAACTATGTAGTAACAATTTTTATTTGCCGAATGATAACAGGAATAACCGTCAGAACTACGATACCGTTTACTTTGAAGCTTTGACATGATGATTAGTGTCTTATTTGATTATCAAAATTTGTACTTTATTCTCCCGAAACAGTGATGACTACGTTCGAAAAAAATATTAAACATTTCTTATTATAAAAATGTCTTTTGGTACACAGCCAGTATTGATTGGTTGGCAGCGGAGGATTTTCTGTGGGAACTATCTCATCCTTAAAAGTTGAATTAATAAACAATAAATTTCACTATATTAACCACTATTACCCTTTCATTAACTTGAAGTATTAAAAAAGAACAAAACTGACCGGTTTTAATTACTCCAGTTCTAAGTTTTTTAGGTGCACTAGATTTTCAAAGAAAACACATCGTATTGTGTAACAGGAAAGTGTGTAGATTTGAATTGACCCATATAATTGATTAAACGTTCACATTCAAAATTTTGTTTGTTCGACCGGAAAATGTAGCGTTTGGGCTGAAATATTGTGTGTTTATATTTATCTCTGACAAATATATCATTCAAAGGATCTCGTTTGTCAACTTTGCTTCGACTAAACACGACATGAATGGCGAATGGGAAAATATTTATTCCGGAATGAGCCATCGCCACTAAGAGACGTCAGTCTGCATCAAGTGAAGAGTTTGTTGTTGGTGAAGTTAATTTTACAGTTGACAGTGAAGATATTTTGAGAAGATAAAGGAAGTTCGTGGTTGCTGTAGTCTGTAGTCTGACTGTGATAGCGTCAAAAATCACATTAATCCAATTTTTTTTCACAAAATATTGGAACCTTAATACGCACTTTTTGAAGCCGAACGACTAGATATGAGTTTTCTCCTTAGTCAAAAATATCTATTTCAAAAAATTAAAATTGTAAGGTTCTAACGAAAGATTTTGTTTTCATACGATAATATTTAACATGAACAAAAATACCAATTTTAAATTATTATGTACATTTTGCATCTGTATAAAAATAAAAATCGCACTTTTTCTTTTAACTTAAAAACAATGTTCGATAGCGCATTGATTTTCTTGCAAAATTTTATGTAACTCCCGACAATTGGATTGCCTCTACATTTATGAAATTACTCCGGAAGTAATGAAATATGTTTGGTACAAAAGTCTCCCCAATGAAAGACAAAATATAACGGTGTTTATTTTCTGGATATACCGCAGTGAAATAGCCAGCGAGATTCGGGCAAAATACGCAAAATGACCGCAGCAATAAATCTTGCAAATATAGGACTCGCTAGTATTGCAGTTACTATGCAATTGAAATCGTTATACATTCTTATCGGCTCTCTAAATAGCGTCATATAAACTTTCAGCCAGAAAAACATCAATCGAAGCTAAAATACACAGCCAGTAATAGGAATCTTGTATTTTATTTTGTCCAACAAAGACACCGGAATTTATTTACTCTTTCGAAGAGAGCCGAACCTCATCCGGGGTTAGGTCGGGCCACTTTTATTTTACTGCTGTCTGTCATCACAGCTCCCATTCTGTTTATTACGAAGATGCGCCACTGGATTTGAAAAATGATGCGGAAAAGTAACCGCAGCGCAGGAAATTATTAT